AGAGGGAGCACTGAAATATGTTGCGCGTCGCGCATGAAGCGAGATGCTCCCGAAGTGACGTCGCAGATGGTCGATATGACCTCGCCATCTTAGGATTCGGAGAATGAGGGAGAAGAGCGAAGAGGATGAATTTCATAAAGGCGACAGTGAGAGGGAGGAGGAACAGGAGGAGGATGTCGAAGACAACGGGACGTTTTGTCATGTTGTCCAGGCTCTGTTTGAGGCCCCCCTCGTGCAGCTGGGGGGGGGGTCTTTGGGGATTCTCGCGAGCTTTAATGGGTCTCATTACAGCATGTTTGAAGCCTCCTGGAGCTCATGGGGGGGGCATATTGGGCCTGCTGGCGGCCCAGGTGGCGGCCCCTTGAAGCTTTGTCGAAGCCCCCGGGGGGGTTGTGCCCTTTGGGGGCTGTTCGGGGGCCTCTTGGAGCCAGTTGGGGGTCGTGGAAGCCATGAGAGCTCCCAGGAACTCTGCGGGTTCCCCCCTCTTGGGCCTCTCTTGCGTTTTTCTTGGGGTCACATTCAAGCTTGTTTTGCCGTCTTTGGGGTGCCTCTCGGGCCGTCTTAGGGCCCTCTTTGGCCGTCTCCGTGCCGTTTCGAGGGTCTCTTGGGCTGGTTTGGGCCAGTCTGGGGGGGCTTCTTGGGCCGTCTTAAGCGTGTAAACGCCAGAGAGCCGAGAACGCGAAAACCATGCAAGAACCAATGGGAAAGCCATGTTTAACAGTTTGCCTTTGACCCTCTGGGGGGTTCTCTTGGGGTTTTCCTTCGGCGTCTGCGGCCGTCTTGAAACTATCTAGGGTGTTCTTGAGACCTCTCCGGCGTATTGGAGCTCTTCCGGAGCCATCTTAGACAGCATCTTTCAACTTAGGCGGCGACAGAGGTTGGATTTGCAGGCTCGGGAGGCCACAGGGATGCGTTGGGGAGCTCGGGCCCCCCCCCCCTCCCCCCCCTTCAAACGCGATTTTGGACCTGGGGTGAGGGGGAAAGGGGGAGGGGCACGGCCGAAAGAGCGCGTTCTGTGGTCGCTCGAAGGGGGGGGGGGGTTGGAAACCGACCCCCCCCCCCCTGGATGGAGGGGGAGGGTTCGAACCCCCCCCCACCCCCTCCCGTGACGGAGGGGGGAGGAAGTTCGAACACCCCCCCCCTATCGTGACGGAGGGGGGGGGGGGGGTTCGAACCCTCCCCCCTGCTTCCCCATTCCTCGGGCCGGCGCTGCGCTTGGGTCGGCGGTGGCTGGCGACGGCGGCGGGGACGACGATTTCCATTTCTTGGCCAGCGCCGGCGCCTGCGGCGGCGGGCGGCGGTGGCGGGGAGCGTCGACGAGGACGAAGGTGGTGGTGGTGGTGGTAGTGGTGGGTTGTGGTGGTGGTGGCGGTGGTGGTGCTTGTGGTGGTGGTGGTGTGGTGGTTTGTTGTGGTGGTGGTGGTTGTGGCGGTGGGTGGTGGTGGTGGTGGTGGTGGAGAATGTGGCTTGGTGGTGGTGTGGTGGTGGTTTGTGGTGGTGGTGGTGGGTTGTGGTGATGGTGGTGGTGGTGGTTTGGTGGTAGTGTGGTGGTGGATTGTGGTGGTGGTTTGTGGAGGTGGTGCTTGTGGTGGTGGTAGTGGTGGCGGTGGTGGTGGTGGTGTGATGGTTTGTGGTGGTGGTGGTGGTGGGTTGTGCTGCTGGTAGTAGTGGTGGATGTGGCGGTGGTGGCGGTGGTGTGGTAGATTGGTGGTGGTGGTAGTGGTGGTGGGTTTTTGTGGTGGTGGTGGTGATGGTGAGTTGTGGTGGTGGTGGCTGGGGTGTGGTGGTGGTTTGTGGTGGTGGTGGTGGGTTGTGGTGGTGGCGATGGTTTGTGGACGTTTGTTGTGGTGGTGGTGGTGGTGGCGGTGGTGGTGGTGGTGGTGGTGGTGTGGTGGTTTGTGGTGGTGGCGGTGGGTTGTGCTGCTGGTAGTGGTGGTGGTTGTGGCGGTGGTGGTGGTGGTGTGGTAGATTGTGGTGGTGGTGGTAGTGGTGGTGGGTTTTTGTGGTGGTGGTGGTGGTGATGGTGAGTTGCGGTGGTGGTTGTGGTGGTGGTGGTGGCTGTGGTGGTGGTGGTTGTGTGGTGTTTTTGTTGTTGTTGTTGTTGTTGTTGTTGTTGCTGTTGTTGTTGTTGTTGTTGTTGTTGCTGCTGTTGTTGTTGTTGTTGTTGTTGTTGTTGTTGTTGTTGTTGTTGTTGTTGTTGAACTCTCATTCTTGAAGAATAATTATTGTTGATCCCCCCCCACCGGTGCACATTGATTTTTTTTCGATTGAAGTGCCACCCCCGGTGCTCGCACCTTGTTTTTTCTCAAGGAAAGTCTTCCTGCTCAAACTGTGCCCCTGCCCCCCCCGGCTACATCAACAACGGCTCCCGCCTGAGACTTCCTCGATTTTTACTCAGGACCCCCGCTCCCGCCTGAGACTTCCGCGCAATTTACTCAGGAAAGGCGCTCCCGTCTGAGACTTCCTCGCAATGTAATCAAGACCCCCGTTCCCGCCTGAGACTTCCGTGCGATTTACGTGGGAACGGCGCTCCCGCCTGAGACTTCTTCGAATTTTACTCAGGACCCCCGCTCCTGCCTAACATTTCCGCGCAATTGACTCAGGAACGGCGCTCCCGCCTGAGACTTCCTCGCAATTTAGTGAGAAACCCCGCTACCGCCTGAGACTTCCGTGCAATTTGCTCAGGAACGGCGCTCCCGCTTGAGACTTCCTCGCAACTTAGTCGGGGCCCCCGCTTCCGCTTGAGATTTCCTCACACTGTACTCAGGACTGCGCTCTCGCGTGCGACGTCCTCACAAATTATTCTGGAATTGCGTTTCGGCGCTCAGGAACCACGCACGCGCCAAGGACGCCTTCACAACGTGGTATCTTCCCTCTTCCTTCGTCCTTCCCCCTCCCCTTCCTCCCACTCTCCCTCGTTCTTCCCCTCCTCCTCTTGCAGGGCCCGCGCCAATTCCAATGGCGGGCAGAGAGATGTACGCCCCCGAAGGATTGTCCGCCCGTTCCGGTTTGCCCGTACGTCTAAGCCCGCCGGCCCCAGCAAAGAGAAATAATCCCCCCGAAAGGGGTGTGATCGAAGACGAAGAGGGCGGGTATCGAGGGTGTAGGGTATACGTGTTGAATGACTCGCGGGCAAGTAAGAGCGCACAGCCTTAAAATGGTTGTTGTTGTTGTTGTTGTTGTTGTGTTGTTGTTGTTGTTGTTGTGGTGGTGGTGGTGGTGGTGGTGGTGGTGGTGGTGGTGGTGGTGGTGGTGTGGTGGTGGTTTGTGGTGGTGGTGGTGGTGGGTTGTGGTGGTGGCGATGGTTTGTGGACGTTTGTTGTGGGTGGTGGTGGTGGTGGTGGTGGGTTGAGGCGTTTGTGGTAGTGGTGGTAGTGGTGGTGGCAGTGGTGGTAGTGGTGGTAGTGGTGGTGGTGGTGGTGGCAGTGGTGGTAATCCTCGCTGCGTCCCCGCCGTCGCCGTCGCCAGCGCCGGCGCTGCTGGCCGCTGCCAGCGCGGGCGCCGAGGGGTGGGGGGGGAGGGGGGGTTCTGAACACCCCCCCCCTCTTTGGGGGGGTTGAAGCCCCCCCGCCCCCCCCTGGGCTGCCTCTGGTCAACGTCGCTGCGTTCCCGCCCCCCGCCGCGGGCGCCGCTGGCGGCCGCCAGCGCTGGCGCCGGCGCCGAGAGTGGGGGGGGGGTTGAACCCCCCCCCTTGTGAGGAGGGGGGGGGTTCGGGAGGGGGGGGGGAGTCCCCCTGTTTTGAAACGCGCCGCCGAATGTTCCCCCAAGGCAAGCCCCCGTGAAACGCGTTCTCTCGGACGGCCAAATGTTGCATACCCGGCAAGCGAGGGTCAGCGGATTGCTTCGCATCGTTTTGCGTGGTTTGCGTCGCATTGCTTTGCCCTGTGTTGCACTGCGCTGCGCTGCATTTCTTCGAAATGCTTTGCGCTGCTATGAATTACTGTGCCTTGATTCGCATTGCTTTGCTTTACATTGCGTTGCATTGATTTGCATTGGTTTGCATTGCATTGCCTTGCGTGCATTGATTTGCATTGTTTTGCATGGGTTGTACCACATGGATTGCACCACATTGATTGCACCATCCAGAGTTGCACCGCATATCTTGCAAGAAATACTGTGTGGTTTGGGGTCCGCGTTGGCTGCCAGGGGCTCCCGCTTGATACTTATCATGCGATGACCAGAAGTTGAAGCTGCACACTGCTTGTACCGATTGGGGCCAGCTCGTTCTCAAAAGTCAGAGCTCTCGCTGGATATGTTTTTGAGCTTTGCGGCTCTATCTCCATGCGTGTTCTTAACTTCGGAGTATGGAAAGCGGATCCTTTTCAAAACGGTGTTCTCGCCTGAATGTCAGGACCATGGGGCGTTCATCCGCAGTGACAGCAGGATTTCTGCAGTGACTCACGCGGAGAGTACTTAGAACGGGATAGTGTCGGGCAGCATCGTTGATGCATCTTGGGTTCATTGAGGCCCTCCTAATCCTCTTCCACCTCCTGCAAATCCTCCTCCCCCTCCTCCTCCTCGTACTCCTCCACCTTCTCCTCCCCCTCGTTCCGAATCACCCTCACGCCACAAACGAAAGATCACGTTGTTCGACGAGTGGGCAATTTTGCATTCTCTTGCCGCTGTGCAGATCACTCGTCGACCGACGTATCCCATCTCACCAGGACTTGCTCCAAGAAGCCATCGTCTGACATTCAGAAACGTCGCCTCCAGCTTTTTGTTGGACGGGCACCACCCAAGGACAGTTCCCATTTTAATTTCCAATGTAAGGTCATGTTGTCCTGCCCCCCTACCAGGATTCCTGATGCATGCTTGCATGATTTCTCTTCCTTTGTCTCTCTCTCCCTCTCTCTTCCTATTTCTCTTTTTTTCTCTCTCTCTCTCTCTCTCTCTCACTCTCTCGCTTTCTCTGAGTTTCCTTCGCGGGACGCTATGGTTTCGTGGCATTCCAAATTCAGAGCCCAGAATCTTGCGCACCTCCCTCCCCCACGTCACCTCAGGACTCAGGACTACCAGTTGACGGCTAGCGGGGCAGACCACAGATGGACATGGCTTCTCCATAAGGATGACGCGCACAAGTCGAGAAGTGAGTGCCACTGCCTCTGCCGAAGGGTCCTCTTCGTCGAAATCCCAAAAGCTAACTTCCAACGGTTTAGTAGGTTTTCAGAGAAAGTGCTCCAAGAAGTCAGCGACAAGTGCTACCTACAGTATGTAAGCTTGTGCGCTCAGTAGCGCAAATCCTGCGCCTTCAGAAAATGGCTGCCTTCACACATGTCTGCCTTCAGTCGACTGCTGCACTCGTCCTTCCACCCTTTCGGTCAATCCTCCGCTTGGCCCAAGCAATTGCCGGGCTCCCCCCCGACACCGCCCCAGGCCGGCGCGCGACTTCCCAGCTCCCGCCCGCGCTCCCGGGAGGAGCGAGACGCGGCACGAGCACCCCCGACAGGGACACCCCCCTGGCGAGCGCACCACATCGCCAATGTACTTCCCCCCCCCCCCCCGTCGTGATTCTTCAACGACGCGAGCACGTCCGGGGCCTGGTGGTCTTCGGGCCAGAGGTCGGGCCTCTGGCGGCCGTTCGGGGCGATCCTGGCCCCCCTGGAGGGCCCTCGGCGGGGCGCGGCCGCCGGAAGGCATCTCCCCGAGCTGGAGCGGAACCTGGAGACACACCGAGAGTGACACCGAGCACCAGCGCCACCACGCAAGCCATGAGAGCGCTCCCCGGCTCTCGGGGGAGTGCCCTCGTGGTGGCGTGGCGGCGCTGCTCTTCGGCGTCTCCCTCCGTCCCGTTGTGTGTGTTTGATTGCCCCAGGGCCCGAAAACGGCCCCGAGGCAGAAGCGAAGGAACAGTCTCCTGGACTGCAAAACCAGTTCGTCGGAGACTCGGGCCTCCAGATTCCCTTCCAACTCGGGGAGGCTTTGTAGACCTCCTCGATCATGGATGCCCCTGCTGGTGGCCCAGTGCATATTGCGAAGGTCTTACGGCCGGTGCCGCCGATCCTGAGAACGACGAAGATGAAAACGAGGGGGGGGCAGGGAAAGGAGGATGAGTGGGAGGTAGAGGAAGGGTGGAGGAGGTGGATGAGGGAGGAGGAGGGGGGAGAAGGATGTGGAGGAGAAGCAAGAGGAGGAGAAGGAGACAGAGGAGAGCAGGAGGAGGGGGAGCGGGGGGGGAGGGACGAGGAGGAGGAGGAGGAAGAGGAGGAGGCCAGAGGCTTTCTTGGGACAGCCTGGGGCTTTCTTGAGGCCGTCTTGGGCCGTCCAGGGCTCCTCTTGCGCCGTCTCGAGGCACTCTTGGAGGCCTCCTGGGCAATTTGGGGCTCTCCTGGGCTGTCTTGGGGCAGTTTGGGGGCCCCTTGGGAGCCTCTTGGGGCCTCTTGGGGCTTCTTCGGGGCCTATCGGGGGCCTCTTGGGGCTGAGAGCTCGAAATGTCTGTTCGGGTCCCCCGTCTGGGCACTCTCCTAGAGACGTCTTGGGGGCCTCTTGGGCCGTCTTGGAGGCGTCTTGGGCCGTCTTGGGGCCATCTTCGGCCGTTAGGGGACCCTCTTGGGGACCTCTTGGGCCGTCTCGGGGCGATCTTGGGGGCCTCTTGGGCCGTCTCGGCGCGTCGGGAAGCGGAAGAGGCAAGAACGCCAAAATCTGTCAAAAACGTATGGGAAATCCATGAACTTCGCCCCTTCCCTTCCAACTCGTGGAGGCTTTGTAGACCTCCTCGATCATGGATGCACCTGCTGGTGGCCCAGTGCATACTCTCTAAGTCCGCGGGCGCCAGGTCGTGCACGACGGGTAGGCGCCAGTGGAAGCGAGCGGTGGTGCGCACCGGAGGCGAGTTGAGGCAGGAGAGGGACAGAGAGAAGAGCGCGAGAAGAGGAAGGAGGGGCCCGTTCAGACCGTGCACGGCAGGTTCGCGCCGTGTCGACCGGCGGCGACCCCGCCGGCGGCGTTCCACGTTGAACGCCGGCAGCGACCCAGAATGGGTCGATGTTGAACGATTGGGCGTCGTGGGAACGGCCGATCGTTCAAGGCTGAACGATCCACGCGGTGTCAGAAACCAACGCCTGGGTCGTCACGACGCGAACCTGCCGTAGGCCAGCACGGGGATGCCGAGACGAACATGCGGGCTGCGTCCAAGCGGAGGAGGAGGAGGAGGAGGAGGAGGAGGAGGAGGAGGAGGAGGAGGAGGAGGAAGCAGCAGGGCCACCAGCTCGAGGTGGAAAACCTTATTGAGGGTGCCGACGATGGCCAGACCTACAGTCCGGGGGGGTGCAAAAACGCTCGCGCTCCTCACGTTGCGGCCAGGGCCAAGGAGCTACCCTTCCCCCGCACGGCCTCGCGAGGGCGCGAAGATGGCCGCGTGGCCGCGCGTCGCGGGGCGCGACGCGCGCAGGAGGCTGGTTTTTGAATAAAAAAACAGTGCTAGGAGACTGGTTCCGAATTCAAGAACCAGTGCTAGGATATTGGTTTCTGATGTCATAAACTTGTCTTTGGAATTCAAAAACCGGCCTGGTGGTGCAGCCGCGCTGCAGCGTAAGAACGACCAGCTGCGGGCTCGCGCAGAATGGGGAGAGGTGTTGCCGATTCTCGGCCTCCCCTCGCCGGGCCCCGGGACTGTCAAAGATCGACGTCAGTATGAAAAAGCGGTCTTGGGGAATGGGTCGAGATCCCCGAGGGTCTGCGTCATTGGAGAGGTTATTCGGCGACTACGAAGGGTATGGTTACGCCGGGGTGTGGTTTGCGATCGGCAACGTCTGGGCCTAGGGGGCACGACACTGTCCTCGTCGGGCCTCCTCGGGGCGCGGGAGGACTCTACCGAGGTCCCCGCTCGCTCCTCGGGGTGCCCCCCAGGATGTTCCCCAGGGTGCCGGTTGTAAACCACACCCTTTGGAGTCGCCGAATTATGACCTCGGGCGTCTGGGGAGGGGGTTCTGAGAAGGGTCGGCCACGCGCAGAGGGGGTCAGGGGGAGGGGGGGAGGCATCTTGGAAGGAGGCTGCTTCTGGGAAGGCGCGAGCTTTTATCTGTAGGTGTAAGGCCCGCGCCTTTCAGAAGCGGCCTCCTTCTATGAGGCCTTCCCCCCCTCCCCCCACACCCTTGCGCGCGCCGCCAAAACCTTGCTGAGGGTGCCCTTGCATCCTTTCCTCGTCGGTCCACCGCTGGCCACTTTTTCGCTGGCCGACGCCGCCGCCCCTCCCCCCTTCCCCCCCAAAAGGGTTCAGCTTGGGTGTCCAAGGCCCCTTCCTCCTCCTCCTCCTCCGCCTCCTCCGCCTCCTCCGCCTCCTCCTCCTCCTCCTCCTCCTCCTCCTCCTCCTCCTCCTCCTCCTCCTCCTCCTCCCCCCTGGGTGAGCCCCCGAGGCCCAGATTGCAGTTTCGGGCGAGACAGACATCCCACCATGTAGACAGTGCGGTGTTCCCCCCCGCGCCCGCACTCCAGCCCGCGGCGGGGGCCATGTTGCGGCTTCTTGGATACAATCCTATGTCAGCGGGTTTCTACCGAATGGAGGAGATATTGCAGGAGGTGGGGAACTTTGACGCGATCGCCTTCGCAGGCACGAAGAACACGGTGAGCTCGGGCGAGTGCACGCTCAAGCGCACCATCAAGGGGCGACTCGTGCACGAGGCACCGTATGGCAAGGCTCCGTTCTCGAACAACGCGTGCGGAGTGGCCGTCGTGCTTCCACATCGGGTGCAAGAAAAACATGTACTGATAATTCGGAGATGCCCACCAGAGGCACTTGGTAGAGCTATCGCGGTGAGGGTGAAGAAGGCAGCGCTAGACGTATGCGTGGTGAGTGCTTATTTTCCACCCCCGCCTACACAACGCAAGCAACGTGGAGCGTATTTTAGAACTACTGCTGTTGTTATTGCCTGGCTAAAGAGTGTCCTGGACGCGTTGCCAGTTCGATGTACCCCCCTCATTTACACTGACCTCAACGACGGGATGGGCTTAATGAACAGAGATGGTTCTTGGATCGAATGTACGACGGACTCCCTGGGTTCGGTAAATCGAGAACGGCTTCCAAACGGTGCTGGTCAACGTTTTAAGGAACTTCTTGAACACCACCATCTTTGGGCTGCCAACACACACGGGGCCGATGTGGTTTCAATGTCCTTCGGGAACAACACGAATTCGAGGATAGATTATGTATGCTGCCCGCTCGGGATGAAACACCTGATCCGTTCCTGTTCTACGCTGAGACGCCTGGGGGGCAAAACTCCAACCTGTGCGTGGCCCACCGCCAAAGGACCATCTACCTGTCGCGTTAGTTTTGTATTATAACAAGGGCGATCAACATCAGGAGAAGGAGGCTGAGGAGAAGAACATTTCTTGGGACAGAGAAGCTATGACGCAAGCTCTTAGGCATGGGACACGTCGCCTTGAATGTTTAGAGGCACTTCGGCTTGAGCTTCAGCATGTTCATATTCACTGGTTGCGGGACCACGCTTCACCCGATGAGATTTTCGAGACCGTCGAATCAGCATTGCGCTCCGCTGGGGAGCAAGTCTTTTCAACGGCCTCAACGACGGACCCAGAGTTTCAGCTGCACAGCAAATGGCGTCGCAAACTTTTGAAGGAGCCGACCGAGATCCGTGGCCAGAAGCTGGAGTGCGACGAGGCCGAGATTGAAACTATTGATCAGCAGCTCCGCGATATCTCATCTCGAATTTGTAAGCTGAGGAGACAAGCTTGGAGAAGGAGGAGGGCCATATTGGTGGAGGAGAGCTCTGAGCATTGGAAGCATCGCAGAGTTGCTGAAGCTATGTCGACTGCACGCCGTGCTGCATCGTGCCGATATGGCCCCAAGCGCAGCGACGGCCGTCTAGCATGTGCCAGCTTACCCACAGCTCAGGCTTGGAAGGAGGTATGGATGAGGGAGGGCAAGGACGGGGGCACGAAGTGCACTGAGATCGACTGGGAGGCGCGGGGGGAGGAGCACGATGAGGATCATCCACTCATTGAGGACGAGGAGGTGTTGGAGCTGGCGGAGGAGGACCTCTCTCAGATGCGTAGATATATAAGATCGGCCCCCAAGCGCCGTGCAGCTCCCTGCTTGCGCGCCCCGGTTGAGCTCTGGCATATGGTGCTATATCCCAACTGGAGAAGAACTAAAGTGGAAGGTCTGGGAGCCCCAAACAAAGCCCCTGACAATCGAGTGTTTTGGTACCTGGCCCTTCTTGGGCTCCAGAAGATACGGTCCTACAAGATGATCCCGAAGTATTGGAACTGCAGTCTCGGGGCTCACTTACATAAGAGTCACCGACGGGGCCCACTAGGAAAACGAGTTGTTCACATTCTTCCTATTCCTGGCAAGGCTTACTTTGCGAGAAAGTTTAAATATCCGCCAGGCCAGGCCGACTACGGGTCCGTACGAGAGCGGCGAAGAGAGACAGCTATTCTTGTATCCAATACGTCATCACATCGCCTTCGCCGATCTCGACGAACATTCTGCATGTGCTTCAAGGATTTGAGTAATGCGTTCGCCAGCAGTTCATGGGAGCGAATGGACGCTGCAGTTGAGGAATACGTCGCGCCCGAGGACCAGGCAGTTTGTCGCCTTCGGTACCGCGAGGCGGTTGTTGCTCCACCTGATGGGGAGGGTGGGAGGTTCACACTCAAGACCCAGCAGGGCGGGCCCATGGGGGACCCGCACATAGTTCAAGCTTTCAACGGGGCCTTCAGACAACCAATTGATGATTGGCGCGAGGATGCACAGCATGACGACCCTTGCAGCAGCGAGCTAGTTTCTTCCTGGGAGGGTCACCAGGCTGGGTTGAGTTTATTGAAGTATGCTGATGATTTACATAATTTTATGCTGGCAGACTACGGCTCGACCCTCCCTGACTTTGTGAACAAGATTGAGAAGCACGGCGTACTTTTGAACAGTAGACTGGGCCCATGTGGGTTCGGACAGAATATGTCCCAACAAGAATTTATGATGTACTTCGGGGTTCACCGTACTTGCTTAAAACAGATCCCCAGGAAAGGCGGGGTGGACCTCCAGGGCTCTATCAGGGAACAAGTCAGGCACCTGGGGCCACATGTTGTTCTTCGGGATAGTGCGCACCATGAAATTGATAGGCGTATCAATGCTGCTTGGGTTTCATTTAGATCTCTGGGCTCTGTCTGGCAATTGGATCTGCAGTGGAAGTTTAAACGTTTATTACTCCAGGGCTTCGCTTACAACTCTCTCTTGAGTGGCCTCGAGGCTTTCGTGCTGACCGCTTCCGATTACTCTCGGCTGGAGGCCGCTCTTGCTCGATTCTGTCGCATTGCGATGGCTGGAAAGGCCACCGACTGGTCAGGAAGTCGCCCGCGCACATTGACTAATGAAGAGCCTTTGAGATGTTGGAGACTTTCGATTCCGCCCCTGGAGTTACGTATTCGGCGAGACCGTTTAGTTCAGAGTTGGGCCCGACGGCCTCTTCACCACCTTCAGGTTCTATGTGCATTGTTCGGGGAACTTCCTAATGAACAAATGGGGCCCCTCGACGACCCGGGAGGTTTAAGTCCGTCTGCATGCCCCTGGGCATTCCAGTTGCGGGCCGATCTTCAGAGCATGGCTCAAGAGCTGGACCAGAAAGTTTCTGACGAAGTCGCTCGGGATTTCAGGCTGCTGCTCGACGAGGCGACTGCCTCATTCCTTGCAGGTGTGGATGTCTCCGCGCACAGATCGAGACAGTACGCCGTGGAGATCGCGCCCGCAGACTTTGCATCGGTGCCACATGCGCCCCGTGCACTGGAAGAAGGGACTCCTCCTGCCCCTCTACCTTGGAAATGCTGGCTCCCCTCTGAGGGGAACCCCGCTGAGGCTTGTGTGGCATCGTTGGTAACCGCAGGGACCTCATGAACCACCCCAGGGGAACTCATGGGCTCAGAAATGTATGTCACCTCATTACGCCAGCAAACATATGCGTCCATTGCATGCAAATATTCGCACGCAAAGCAAACGCAGCCAAACGTGCAATGTGATCTACGTTCCGCGGGCATTGTCAAACCGTGGGCCCCTCGGCTTTGAAAGAGCTGATCCCCGTGACCTCCTTCCTGTGCCCCGTTTGCGAGTTCGACGGCTCGGGTCTCGACGATTTCTGTGAAAATTTGTGCACGCGCCTTCCGTTTCGGCCGCGCCCATGCGTTGCTGATGCCCGTGAACGCGCAGCCGTCGCAGCCCGTGGAGCCTCTCTCGTGGTTCAGTGCTCCGACGGCCCAGACAGCAGACGTGGGGCGTCCTGGCGAAGGAGCCGAGGGGGGCCTGCCGTCACGCAGGCACGCCGACAGAGAGAAAGGAGCAGGCGTTTCGAAAGGCCAACGACAGGTTGAAACTCTCCCTGGCCCGCGAGGTCAAGAGCGCCCTGTACCCCAGGCACGACGCGTCGGCGGGCATGGCGGCAGCAGGCAAAGCGGCAGGGGTGAAGTACAACGACCACAGCGCCGAGTGGATGAAGCTCGAGAAGGGAGGCCACTCCGTCGACCACAGGCTTCGAGGGCCCCCGCACACGCACGGG